GCAGCAAATTTGCTGCGCTTTTGTCCCAGAGAGCTCATAGCTCTTCTACCCAGCAACCACCACCAGGTCGTTCAATCTCCCACTGCCACCAAAGAAAGCCACCATGGCCTCACATGGCAGCAGCAGCTGGCGGCAGCCCTTGCTACGTATGGTTTTTTTTTTTTTTTTTTTCAATGATCATCCTGCAACTTTTGCAGATGATCAACTCAAATCCACAGGTTAAGCAAATCCACAGAAAGAAAAAAAAACAAGCGTCTACGATCCAACAACAGCTCCATCCGAGCTTCCATAAGAGAAGACGTACATAGCTTCAAAAGCTTCATAAGAAAACTCCCATTTTTTTTCTTTTTTTTTTTTGAAAAACCAAAAAAATAATTCTCCCATAATTCCGCATATTCAATTAAATCCAATTAGCAATATTAATCCATGAATCCAAAATTGCCTAAAATCATACGTAAAATTCTTAGGGATGGCTCTGATACCACTGTTGAGTTTTAGGGATACTTTGCAGCGGAAAAATAAAAATTTTTTCCCTAAAACCATCCAGGAATCACCCTAAATTTTACGTATGATGTACTAAAAGTAGGGTTTTAGGATTACCTTAATCCAAGCGGCGTCTCCCTGCGGCATTGTTTGAGGATGGTCAGCCCTTGAGCAGTCCAATCGTCCTACCTCTACTGATATCCACGCTAGAGCAACCCTGGATCGTCTCACAAACTATGTATTGAAGAGAAAAAGGTGCTAGCCTTTTTACTCTTCTCAAACATATATTTTTTCTCTCTCTCTCGTCTGTGACAATCACAAAAAACTTGTTCTAGTATCTGTATCTCAGCCCCCAATATCAATTGGAGAGAGAGAGATATATGATAAGATAGAATGATGAGTCTTCTTGTCTGATTCAAAATCAAAACAATAAGATTTCTTATCACACAAGACTCTATCTATCATTATCTGATAGATGAGAGATAACCATTTATTCTTATCTGCTCAAATAGGCCTGGGATTAATTTTCTTTTAAAATTAAACCCCGACAATTTACATAGTTCCAATCCAGAATTAAATCTCTATTGCGTGTGACCCAATAGGTCCCGAATGCATTGGTAATAATTATGGTTTAATAATTAGATAAAATAAACGACTTTATTTTATCATAACTTATAATAAATAATTAATCCATAATTATAAATCACGAGCGGTGTCTAGCAACACATCGCGATTGCCCAATTATTCGGAATTAGTCAAGGGAATTTGACCTAACCTTTCCGTGAAAAATTACCGTGTAATTATTATCCTTTCACCAAAGATATCCAATTAATCAGGAATAAGGAATAAGTGCCAATTCCTTGATGACTAATTAAATTTTCTAGTTCCCGAAATGTACCCTTAATTAGGTTAAATTGAAGACATTCTTCAATTTACCTAATAGTCGACTTTAGGGTTAATTTCTCACTAGTGGCTATCCGGATATCAACTCCTTCTATCGGAGTGGTAAATTCTATCTCAATCACCCATTTTCTTTACATGCTTCACACTATATCCAACTTCTACACTTTAAGGCACTCACGAAGAGTAACAAGTAATTAGAGTCAAAATGTAGCGATTCACACTCAAGATATTATGGTGATCTCAAGTCGTAGGATCACTTACACAATTTTTCACTAGAGATACACCATTGGCGCTAGATAGATATCCTAACGGGATCTCTAAATGGATCAATCCAATGCATTTGTACTTTCCAAATCATCTACACATTAGCCTAGGTATCATCATGCCATAGTTGATGAGAACAACCACTAATTACATTAATTAGAGGCTAACTGTGTACTAGTTTTACCGTACTAAAGATGTCCTATTTCATTAGTACTATAACTAGGAAATTTTAAGAATATTACTATAAAAGCGATTGATATCTCATAGTCATCAACTCTTGTGACTACCATCACATTAGTAAACATTTTAAGGACTTTATCAGTTATATCTAATATTTAACAGATAAATAAGAAGTTATTAAAATACAAAACATATAATTTAGGAATGTATAATAAAATACAAAACATATAATTTAGGAATGTATAAAATAAAAACAAATACATTGTTTTAGGGCATACATTCCAACACTTTGTTGGTCTCATGACACACTATTCAAGTTAACTACAAATCAAGAAAATCTCTCACCGTTTATTAATACAAGGACATTAGTAGGTGAATATGCATTTGTTCGTGAATTTCTCTTTCTCATTGAATGGTACTAAAGCCATTTTTATTCCCAAAAAAAAGCCATAAAAAGTTTATTGATTACAAATGAATTTGTAAAATGTGCTATAAGTCGATAGTGTAAGCTCTTAAATTCTACAATCGATGGTTTGTGGTTCAAACTGCTGCCAGCGTTAGTTTAGGAGTGCAAATTGCAATTAACCAAAAAAAAAATAAATTGTACCACAAGACTCTTTGTACGCCAGTGTTTCTGTATTTTATGTGTGTTTGATGTGTGCATTTATGTGCGAGACTTATCATTGTCAAAACTTAAACTTGGTCTTTATCCCTGTAACTTATGTGCGAGACTTATCATTGTCATGCTTGTCTTTGTTTCGATTGGTTTGACTGGGAAAACTCATGCTCAAAAATTTATTGATGCCATTTATAGATACTTCAGCTGCTAAAATAAGTAACCACGGGTCCACGGCTAATTAGGTAGCAATCATTATCATACTCGTTTCAATAAAAAAAAAAAAGAAAGTCTGGATTTCTTAATTTGTTTTGCGGTGGAGGAATTTGGCATGTAAATAGAGTTTAAGAGAAGTGGGACGTACCATGCAAGAAAAGTCGTAAAATAGATAGATTTTATGTTTTCACTAAGCTGTTAATTAGTGATGTAATCCTTCTGTAATTCATCCAATTGCAGCTACTCTTTAAAGAACTCATACACAATTGAAATTCCATGTGCAACTAGTAAAGAGTACTATAATCCCTTCCAGTCTAGATAAGAATTTTAAAATAAGTACATTGTAAATATTTAATATCACAATTGATGTAACAGAGAAATTAGGTTTATCTGTCAAGTAAAAAGAATTTTCAGTTCTCGGTAAATGGTTTTTCCTATGTAGTGCCCTAAGAGCACAAAATAAGTATACAAAAAAAAAAAAAGTGATTCTGCTATTATAGTGTCAGAATGATCACCCACCCCTTAAATTACAATACTTTCATACAGAAAATATACCCTTTTGCCAAAAAAAAAAAAAAAAAATTCAGGTCCATTTTTTTACAATGTGCCGTGAAGGCTCCAATTTTTTAGATGAAAGACATAGTTCCCAACTCAAGAAAACTCAATTCAATGAAAATCATGTTCCCCCTGTTCAAGTTTGAAGATTTTACTTGTGGAGAAAAGCATCAACAATTTTGAAATTCTCTCCGGCATTTAATTTTTGTGTCTAATTTATACAGTTCCATGAGCTTTACGTGCTTTTCTAGCCTAAGAAAATGACTAAATATGTGACAACGGTCTAGCTATGAGCTTATCTTCTGTTAATGACCAAATTACTTAATCTTACCGGTTAAATGCTAAACTGAAATTTGCATTAGAAGTTGAACTACAAAAGTTGGATTAAAGGTTAAATTATTTTTAGGTTCAAGCAAATTACTTTTTAGAAATTTCTTCAAGTAAATATCATCAAGTTTGTTTAGTCAAGAAAAAAAAAGAGGACACTTTAGCTCAAAAAGAAAAAAGAAATGCCAGAAAAAATAACTTAGTGATTTCCAGGCATGTTCATTTACCAAACTCGATAGGATTTTGTCTTCAATCATTGGCTTAACGACCTCAACCCAATCTCATTGGTTCATACAATTTTTTTATTTTAGTCCGAATCCAAAACTTTCGGCACTCGGACATTACGTCTAAGAACTTTCATCATATATTTTTTTTTTTTGGGGAAACTGTCGTCATTTTCAAGCTCAATGATAAGCGGCGCGCTTAAATGCACATATCAAACGCACACCAAATACACAAACACTGGCGTACGTACAAAGAGTCTTGTAGTACAATTTATTTTTTTGGTTAATTGCAATTTACACTCCTAAACTAACGCTAATAGCAGATTGAAGCATAAACTATCAATTGCACTATTTAAGAGATTTCATTATCGACTTATAGTACATTTAACAAATTCATTTATAATATATAAACTTTTTATGGCATTTTTTTTTTTAATAAAAAAGGCTTTAGTACCATTCAATGAGAAAGAGCAAATGCAGATTTAGGCTGATAATGCCCTTTGTATTAATAAATGGTGATAGATTTTATTGATTTGTAGCTAACTGGAATAGTATGTCTTGAGGTCGAGTAGGTTTTAATCTAATGATTGGGGTCGAAACTCAAAAAAATAGAGGTCTTGGTTCAAATCCCACTACAACAAAAATGGCATTTAGCGGCATTTAAAAGTGTCAGTATAGATAATCTAACCTGACATTTTATCTATCCTCACACCTAGGGCGAGTGTTGTCCCTTCCAATGTGGGGATAGCCTCAAATCTTTAGCAACATTCAAAGGTGTCCGGAAAACCATGCTGCTATAGCATTCCCTCTGCCAACAAAAACTTTTTTTTGTGATAATCGAAAGTGTCCGTATAGCATTAGAACATCAGTAGCGGATCAGTAGTATATCCAATTTATGAAGGCATCTTTAGTTGTCTTAATATATGACTTTAAGGACACGTAGCCATGTGAATTTACACTGCTTTGGACGACATGCCCATTTGTCATTAGTATTTTTCGAAGCTAAGCTATGCTGACACTTTTAATTGCCAGGAGTTTTTTCCCTGTTTTTTTTTTTATATGGAAGCAACCTGCAATTAGTCCTCCCTGCTGTACATTCCATCAACCAAAATCCTAAGGGACTTGTAAAATTATCTCAAAGAGCAGAATGCATATAGCAATTTAAAAGAAGAAGTCGATACTCAAATATAATTCATTGAATTAAAAGTCGATAACAAGTACAAACATAGCAATTACTAAAATCGCAAACAAGTGCTCAAAGCAAGTACTAAAATCCCAATAAAGTACCGAAAGATTCTCATTTACAATAACTTGAAAGACTTTCTTGTGCACAAACAAAAAGACTCTCATCCCTAACAAGTTGAAAGAAATGCTAAAAGTCAGGTAACGTAATTGTACAATATTAGCAACGATCCGCGAGAGGTATAGTATATATATAGTACATTGTTTGGGCTCCTATAAAGCAGGATATTAAAACCGAGCAACCCATACCGTCAGCAAACTAATCAAAGTGAAGTCAGCTCCATGAATTTCTGTCTAATGTGATAATTGTTTGCACCAGTAAAGTACTTTACGGGCATTTTCTTTGAACATAAGAAGTTCCATGTTCCTCAAACCTGTTAATCGAGAGATAAAACAAACTGAAAATAGGGAGAAAAAAAGAAAAAAAGTTGAATATTGAAAGGTAGAGTGGATGTAAAAGCTTACTCAGATTTTGAAAACCACATTTGCTGAAAGGAACCAAGTGCCGCCAATATACTCCCACCTGTCCAAACACTGAATGCGACAGGTTAGTCAACAATGCATGGCACTGGCATGCAAAATTACTTCTTGCTACAAATGAATAAAGCTAGCTCAGATTCTGCCCACAGGCAAGGGTTTAGAAGTGTAACCAGTTAACTTGATTAACACCTTCTTGGTATAATGCCAGAGGTTCAGCATCGTTTGTAACTTCATTAGAAACTATTGTCATATGCATATTTGGCCAAAGTTTTCATAGAAACAGATACTCATTCAAAATAGATAGCAATTTCACATTTAGTGGTTCAAACATTAGTAGAATCATAATAGAAATGTATGGCTTACCTTAGCCAGAAGATGAAGACCATGTTCAATAAGTATGGAAACAGCAATCAAGATGAAACAAACAACTACCACTGCCCATGTTGATGTATGCTCAAGAGTTGTCTCCTCATTTCCACTTCCTTCAGCCATCTCTAGGTGGAGCAGTCCGGCTATGCTTTAGTAGAGGTTAGTGCCAATCCTTCAGAAGAAGAGAAAACAGCCGAGAAATTGAAGGGATGAAGAAAAGTGTATCCAGTGATCTGGGGAAACAGAAATTTTTTTTCCAATTCTTGAGCATTTGAGATTGGAAAATGATAGGAAAAAAATTGCAACAATAATAATATAATAACACCCCAGGAAATAGTTTGCGTTCAAGCAATTCAACCTACTGGAAATCATGTCATGCTAGAAATATAGCCTTTGGTCTATCAAATGCGATGGAAAAAATTATAGATATTGGACATAACTATGTACTGCAATTTCCTACTTGCAGTTCCATCACTATTGAGAGCAGTCCTCCTTCCTTTGCAAGGTCCACATTATATGGGACTTCGTAGTTCTTTGAAGTTGCTAGTTTTAACTGGTGAAGTTTTGCACTAGTGCTGATTGTACATTTTGATGGAACCTTCCCAACCAGCAAGAACATAGTGAAATTTCATACTGAAGGAGCATACAGCCCGTACATTTTGTGAAAGAAAACCACTCTTGTTCCAGAAAGGAACTTGCTCATCCAATCCTACTGCACAGGCAAATATATACTGTCAACTGCTCCCACGCAATTCTACTTGATAAACAGTAACTTTTAAGACAAAAAATAGTTCAAGGACAAATTAGAAAGACTACAAAAAATCAGAGTATTATTTTCAGGTTACCTGAAAATGAGGATAAATTGAGGATCTTCACAAATTCTGGTGGAACATCAGGCCTAGGAGGTGGAAAAACATCCCGTGAAATTGCCATAATTGTTGTTAGAACATTGTTGAAATGGCAGCTAATGGTTTCGCCTGAGTATCCAAATAGCTCTTGAACTGCTCGAGTACATATCCTGTGCCCAACTATAAACATGATCAATCACTGCCTGCTCCTCAATCTTTATTCTAATTGTGTGACATAAGAGGCCTCTGGCTTGTAACATGTCACACAATACATAAAACATGTGCCTATCCATGTGTAAGTTCTACGAGCAAAGGCCATTTGGACCATTAAGAACTTCGTTTATGGATTTTTTGCCATCAGATGTTAGAGAATGCTCCCTGGCATCCAGAGGACCATTCTTTCCATCATCAGAGCTCTCCATTGAAAGCTTTCCTCTGCATTCACACATTATATTAGACAATTTGAGCAAATGCAGGAGACAAGGATCGTTTACTTGAGAATTAAGATATCAATTTGCACTTTGCAAATGGACTAATATTTCATTAGCATTTCTAGCATGATCTATGCACTAGAACAACGATGATTAATGCAACTTAGCTGGAATGTAACATTATCATGGTCACATCCGATGTCAACACAAAAAATGTCTGATTAATTCTGTTGACAAAGTCAACTACCTTAAAATCTATATCCGCAAATCTTAAACGCATTGCATTCATTCGAAACCAATCCCAAACTACGAAAGCATAAGGTTACTAAAAGGCTAGAACTTTTTCTAGTCTAATAAATGATTGATCAAATCATAGTGGTTACTTATAAAGCTCAGCTCAAAATGAAGCTATCTGGAATATCATTTTCTGCTGAGCAAGCACAGTACAATCAAGAATGCAGGAATATCATAATAAATCTAAGAACCAAGCCACTGATGGGCAAAAGACGGAAAAAAGCCTCCGCCGCCAAACATCACAGATATTGATAGAACTAGTGCTGATTGTATCACCAATTCAACATCACAGATGCATCAGAAGCTACAATCCCCATGACTCAAGCCTCTCAAATATCCATGTATGACTCATTATTAATACACCCCTATGCTGCCAAAGCCTACCAGTACTTCTTATAACACTCAACAAACTGAATCAGTTCCCAGTGATTACCAAGCACTAAAGTAAATTATACAAGTCTACATTCGGGTAGCGAATAAAGCAAACTATGATTTATAAAGCCTAATCATTCTACGGCTTAATCCTCTAAAACCACTCTCTAACACTCAGTTTAAAAAACAACAAAATGCTACAGTCCTTTAATCTCATCCATGTAGTACCCTAAAGGGACTGTAAAACTCCCCAAAAAATATCAAATCTAAATGCACCATACATGTTCATTTCTGACTATGTAAACCCAAATCACCAACTAACAAAAAATAATTACCCAAAAAGAACTCAAAATCAGACAAAAGTAAACAAAAGAAAATTAGAGAAAAATTAGAGAAAAATAGAAAAATAATAGAGAATAATACCTTAAGATACTTAAGCTTCAGATTTCCATAGACGACTCCAAACATGAAGGCTGAAGCACGAGCCACCTGCCACCAGTTATACGAAAACGAAAAAAATCCAAATTAGATCAGACATCAATGAAATTGTGAGAAATTAAAGCTGGCGGAGGTAGATGGTTTACCAAGGCGAGAGTGCTGGTGCCGGAGTAGGGTCCAGGAGGAGGCGACATTTGCTGCTAATCGTTGAAATCGAAGAAAGAATAACTGCCCCAAATCTAGGGTCTCTCTCAGACTCAGAGCCCTAATTTTCGTCGGACACCAATTTGGAAATTAGAAATGTTGGGGAGATGGGCGAGGGCTTCCCTTAGCTCCTGCATTATTCAGTAAGGAAAAGGCCCAAAAACGTAACTCTTTTTGCAGGAAACCACCAACCAAAATTTACATATAGAAAAATTACAGAGTATAACCTGTTCATCGACGACATCGATATCTGCGAGCATGCGGCTGGATTTCTTACCGGAATTGCCTAATTCGTTTGCTAAGAAATAATTTCTGGAGAATCCGAACTCGTCCTCTTCAATGTCATGTTGTTCCATTTTCTGGTTTTGACGAACCTAAACCTGATGATGAGAGGGAAAGAGTAGGGGCGACGGGACGGCGGAGGTAGGGAGCAGAGGAGAGGAAAGTGGCCGAGAGAGGCAGAGGGCAAAAATTTAGGCAACCGAGAGAAATCAATTTAGGGCAAAAATTTATCATGCAATTACATACCTTCAATGGGAAAGTAAGGGTAGTTTGATTGCGGAGAGATTCAACAGGAAAAACTCTGCGGGAAAGCAAAATTTTGGCCAAGAGTTTTGAGAGACAGTTTGCCGAGAGAGAGACTTTGTGCGAGAGATAAAGAAGAAGCAAAATTTCACTGGGAGGCAAAATGAAGTTTTGAGATTTCACTAAGTGTTTTGGCAAAGGAATCTTCCGCCAAAATCCAACGACGTCGTTTTGTGTTTTAATTTTTTTTGGTGTATCTCACATTTTCGTAAGTGTCATAATAGGGAGTCTAAAGGTACATTATTATTTTTATATCAAATAAAATAAAAAAAAATTAGAGTATATATTATTGAGTTGATAACTAGTGTCATGATAGAAGTTTTATAATGGCACAAACCAGCAAGTGTCCTTATAGATATGTCAGAAAAGACCATTTTTGTTGTAGTGTCCCTCATTCCCCCTTCCTAACTCTTCAATCTCGTTCCTCTCCTTTTTGAAGAAAAAATGTATGGTATGCCACAAAGTAATAGCGGAAGGTAATAAAGTATCCAATATATTAACTTTACCCTTCTTTGTCAAAAGGATCCAACAGCAATGAAAAGATTAACTTTCAATTTCTCGCATAATTAAAACTTTTCTTCGACTTTCACATCCAAAAATAGACTAAACCATACTCAACCTCCAGAAGCATATCCAATTCGATAGTTTGAGATGCTGAACGCAAGGAGGTAATAAAGTACCCCAAGAAACATACAGCTCACAGCATACCTTTTTATGATTAATACGTGGAGAAACTCTGGACGTGATGACCTATAGGGCCTAGGGTCAAGCTTATTTTCATCGGTTAAATTAATGAAAAGCAATACTAGGGTAGGCATCCTTTATGTCATTTGTAATGCGGCGGTGCAACCTTAAACTATTAAAGTAATATAATCTCCTGCTGAGCGGACCCTCTCAAAGGTAACGTGCACTGCTGCATCCCGAAATTGTTTGGTTCCTCCTACAATTGCAACTTCATTGACATCCATCACTGTATGACAATTCCTTTTATTTCCAGAGTGATACCACTGTACTTCCCATTAGTGAACAGAATCATAAACGCAAGCCCCAGGTTGAAGTTATCAAGGGATGCCACTGCAACTAAGCCTTGCAAACGACCAACTAGTGCGTAGAAGTAGCAAAATGGATATATGATTGATAAATGGTTTTAGTTAAATGAATAATGGATCAAATTGATCCAATCCAATTAAAATTATTTAATAAATGGATCTAAATGGATGCCATTTAAATGGATAGTGTAAAAATATGATCCATCCATTTACTCTCCCAAGTCCTAAATTTAAGATCCAAATTTTTTTTCCCAAAAAAATATAGATTCCCAAAGTTCTATCGTTAAATCACCTAAAAATCTTTTGGTAATAACAAATGCTTGTACTACTACTCTATTCAATGCTTCATAAAAGCAACTTCAAATTAGTTTAGTTCCAAGAAAATCTAACAACTATGGTCAATTTAACCTTTCATCATTACTTTAAGTATTATTTTGTAAAGTAATGAACAATTAATAACTTGGCAACATTATTATAACTTTTGGGTGAATTGAATACAGCTTTATAGTGGAAAGAAGTTTACGTTTCCAATTTTTTGCACTCCTGTTCAAGAGAGATGCCTTGAATAAAAGTGAAGTTCTAATAAGAGGTCTTATGTTATTTGACAAGTAAAATATTTTCATTACATGAGTACGTAGTACCTAAAAATGTATGAAACTCTTTATTATATCATTGATATAGAAGCTACCTTATATTTACTTAGTAAGTTAGGTGTCTTTTTTTTTTTTTGGAGCGTTGGGTTGGGTGATAAGGGGAGAGGGATTGTCAGTATGAGTTTTTAGATTCAAAACCTGCTTCCACTTATTAAAAAAAAAAAAAGAAGAAGGTGTTATTTATGTATCTTAACTAGTGAAGCAGGGACACTCGTTAGAAAAATTCTTTTTATAAATAAAAGAATAAAAGAATAAAAAATTACTTTGATACCGTATGATGCATTCTCGCTTTGTCTTTACTTAAGAATGTAAATGTTTATAGTCATTACTACATGAGAGTTTAATTAAAAAAACAAGAGTAGAGACTAAAATATAATTTTGAAAAGGATGAAAGAAGTCTAGGAACTAGAAGCCAATACAATGCAGTTAATGTTATTGGCAACTTGGCATATGAAGAAGTTATAAAGGAGAGAATAGGTGGTTCCATAAAATTAATTTGGTATATGAGGAAGTTATGGAGAAATGAATAGATGGTCCCACAAGATTTTATCCCATTTTTTTTTATAAATATTTGTAATCACTATGTGTGTTTTCTGTTTTTTGAGTTAAGTGGATGTATATAGATAACATAAATAACCTATTTAAATCTACCAATATAATTGAATTTAGAAGATTATTCATTTAAAACCATTGAATTTATATGGATCATCTAAATTTATTTAAGGTTGGTTTATATGAATGGATTGGTGAATATGAATCCATTTTGCCACTTCTAGCCAAAACTAGTCAAAAATGGACGATGCTGAATACTAAAACAGCTATAACGTACAAACTTTCTCAACTATCCCCAAGACGATCAAATCAGACGCAAAGTAATTTTTTTATAAAGAATCTAATGGACCATGTGACCCAACATTCGTACCGTTTATCTTTTTCTTAACATGATTACACATTATCTATAAAGGTACGATCGATGCACTCGGATTAAATCTAGGCAACGTTACAACTAAAATTTCTAGATAAACACTAAGATCTAATCAGATAAACTCGCAATTAAATACAGATGAACACAAGACGTGTAATTTTTGGAGTTCGACCTTGGTTGTTATAAAATTAAACCAAGGCCTCATTGATAAATAACAATATTTAGTTGCATACCAAGTTTTTAATGAAGATATTTGACCCCATAACCCCATCTTCCTTCCTTCGAGGTAAAAAAAAACCCATCTTCGTTACTTCAAGAAAAAAAAAAACAAAAAAGAAAGCCCCATTTTCCTCTATCAATGTCCATATATTAATTTGTTGACTTTACAAACTCGGTACAATTTTAGGGACGTGGACCTCTATCTAACACAATAACATTGAAATTGAAAAGCGGTTACCTAACGCAACAAACTTTTGCCTTATTTTCTGTGTCACTCCTTATTTCACTTTTTATTATATTATTATTTTGATTTCCTAAATATTATATTTTAGTTCTTTTCTGTTTCTTTAAAATCTAATAATTATTAATTGAGTAATATACAAAATTTAAGAAATTCAAAAAAATCAAAATGTATAAAAAATGAGATTTTTACGAATTTTCTACTGATTAATAGTTATTGGATCTTAAAGAAACAAAAAAGAGCTAAAATATGACATTTATGAAGGAGAAATAGTAATACAATAAAAGGTGAGATAGAAAGAAATGAGATAAAAGATCCTTACTTCCTTCCTTCGAGGTAAAAAAAAAAAACCCATCTTCCTTACTTCAAGAAAAAAAAAACAAAAAAAAACCCCATTTTCCTCTATCAACTTCATATGATGTCCACATATTAAATTTGTTGACTTTACAAACTCCGTACAATTTTAGGGACGTGGAGCTCTATCTAACACAATAACATTGAAATTGAAAAGCTGTTACGTAACGCAACAAATTTTTGTCTTATTTTCTGTGTCACTCCTTATTTTACTTTTTATTATATTATTATTTCGGTTTCATAAATATTATATTTTAGTTTTTTTTCTATTTATTTAAAATTCAATAATTATTAATTGAGTAATATACAAAATTTAAGAAATTCAAAAAAATCAAAATGTATAAAAAATGAGATTTTTATGAAATTTCTACTGATTAATAGTTATTGAATTTTAAAGAAACAAAAAAAAAGTAAAATATGACATTTATGAAGGAGAAATAGTAATACAATAAAAAGTGAGATAAAGAGTACCACAAGAAACGAGATAAAAGATCGGTTACGATTACGTAACATACTTTTTCAATTTTTTTTTTTTTTTGGAAAACGAAAATCGTTGTGTCCTATAAATTATCCTCCTCTTCTGCTTCATACTTCACACAACACCAACTTGTTTCCTTCTTTCGTCTCCTCCTTTTTACCTGTAACAAAACAATGGCAAAGGGTTTAGCCATAGCATCCCTCCAAATTCTGAGTCTGCTTTTACTAGCAAGCTTGGGACAATCAAAGACAGTGTTCACAAATTTGACGATTTACGACCATGAATTTCAAAGTGGAGATTGCCAGACTGTTTTCCCAGTTGCAGGTCTCAACGGAACTGGGGAATTGTACCAATTTGGAACTGTTGTTGTCATTGATAATATCTTGACACGAGGATTTTCAATCAAATCCGCACTACTTGGTCGTTCGCAAGGCATTGCTGCAGTAACATCCCCTGATGGCAACAACGCAGAGCTTCTGTTAACTTTTCTGTTCACTAATGGAACGTACAGTGGTAGCACTGTGGAAATAAAAGGAATTTTCATAGGGTCTCTGGATGTCAATGAACTTGCAATTGTAGGAGGAACCAAACAATTCCGGTATGCAACAGGGTATACTACCTTTCAGGTGGTCAGCCAAGTAGGAGATCATCTTATTGTAAAGGTGAATCTCTACATTAGACAGGACATACCGGATGACTACCCTGGTATTGCTAATCATTAATAACTGAGATATATACATATATATATATATATCAGTATCTTATAAATAAACTTGACCCTGGGTTCTCTAGGTCATCAGGTCAAGAGTTTCTCCATGTAATAACTATAAAAATGTATATGCTGGGGGCTGTATGTTTCTCTATCAATAAAACAGTATGGTTCACAATACTTTTGAATAATTTGGTGTAACTATTGCTAGATCTTTTCTCGACTTATGTTCCGCTTCTAAAATAGAAGGCAGAAAACTAAGGCAAGAATGTGCCATAAATTTCTTTCTCTTTACTAATTAAAATCTGAATAATCTAGATACGATTATAGTTGTTCTTATTACCTAGTTATTCAATATAAAGGATTTTTTTTTCTAGGAAAACATAAGATTTTTATTATGCTTACCATAAAAAATTTAGTACTACCAATTTTTTCCACAGAACAGTTAAACAGCACCATTGCAGAAATAGGATTC